ATTGCTCCTCATGAAGTGTATAACATAGTCCGCACTCATTGCAAAAATTCATTAAAGACATAGAGGAACAAATTTTTTTCCTCACACAGAAAGCATGCGCCTTGAAGAATTAAATCGCTAAGCGCTAATGCAACGGCTAATCCGGCTTAAAATTATTTGAGGATTGGACAACTTTATTAAAGCCTGAATAAACTCTGTCTTCAAGCATAAAATGTAATGTCGACGTGACTTCGGGTATAAAATATGAAGACAATCTGATTTCCTTCCAAATAAGCAAACGAAAGCACATTTTATGCATATTTTTTATAAAATATATTTGAATTTATAAGACCATCGAAAACCAGTGCGAAAAATGCATGCTAATTTAGTAGGCATTTTTCACCGGGTGTGGTTTCTGCAGGAGATCGAAAAGAAGGGCATTCAAAAGCCGACATCCTGCCGAGTCCGAAACATTAGTGGATTATGCCGCATGATAATCAGTACTACAACCACACCTAAGTAATCCTTGCAAATCGAAAATGCATTTCAGAATTTCGGTCAACATTTCATGAGATTGGTCACCACACCCCCTGGTCCACAATAAACGCTTGACCAGGATTTTCGACAACGACAATGACAAAGATGGGGGACGACAGGGATTCCAACTGGCACGGCGTGAGCCGGCAGTTGGGCCTGCCACCGCACTCCGAATGCTGGCATTTGTTGCGGGTACGTATTCCCCATAACGCCTACCAGAATCCGATGCAGCTCCCGTATTAGTTCAGCGCATCTACCACGTGGCCGTTTTAGGGTCACAAGGGTGACCCGAGACCAAATGGTCAATCAAACCGCCTTTTGGCTCATGGATAAAGACATCTTACGGGGGCAGCTGAAATGATTTCCCTTGGCGCCCTTTCATTCACCGACAAGCAGAATTTTCAAACCCATTAGGGTTTTTCGAGACAATCTTGCTCCAAAGCAGCGTGCCATGTGACTCTAGTTCAAAAACTTTTTTTCTGCAGTCTCATGTCAAATTGAATCTGATAGCGCTATCTATCAAGTATGCGAAGTTTTTGAGTCTCTTTCATCGTGGTGTTTACGCGTTCTATGGAGACATATTCAGTGAACGATGTATGCCGCACCGATTCAAGTCTAGGATAGCCCGTCGTCTGGTTAAACCTGTCTAGCCATGGAGCGGCGCTGATGGAAGGTGCTTTAGGAGATCAGAATCTGCATTTGTGAAGTGGTAGACAATAAAAAGGCAGTTTGTTGCCACGTCGCGCCGAAGCTACACGAGGGTCATGAAAATAAATCTAGAAGATACAGTGTATGCCTGAGTCAAAAACAGTCCTAAAGACCACATGGCACAGTATGACCTTCCTAAAGTGCAAACAGGGCGGCAATACCTGTTCTTTTTATCACGGCATGTATTCAATTGTGAGGAACCATAATCCACCGATGCGAATGCAGAGCTTACTCTCCGAGGTTTGACTTTTCTCGGTTCTGCCGTACGACACTCCTGTCAAAATAAAACGCTAACCTGCTTGAGTTGTTTTCGTCACTTATCTCAGATCAAAAAAAACTGGTGATAATTGGGAAAGGTTTAAGCAATGGCAGGGGACGCTCACCGATCCTTCTTACGGAACTCATTTGTTCCGTTGTGCCTTACGGGCTCTCTCTCGAGCCCAACCAGCAGCCGCACAGCGGCGCATGATATAGGCAGTATGTTATTACCGTCCAGTCCCTCTTGTCTTTGTCGGTAATAAAATACTGCCTACAGGTTTAGGCCTTGAAAAGGAGGAACCTCCCTACTTACTTATCTAAAAGTACACTCGGCCGACCATTCGTTGCCTTCTCTGACTAACGTGCCTATATCTCAGTCACACTTTCCAACTTTTCACTTTAATCTTGTCACAACCTACTTTTGTCAATATTTATTCTTGACCAGTGATTTACTTTTCCTATTCTAAGCGTGAAGGTAGGCGCACTCCGATCTCGTTGATTTTAAGGATGTCTAACTTGGGATATCCGCCATGTACATCGTAAAAAAATCATAGCAACATGTGAGTGGCGTATACTAGCCTATCAGTAACCTAGGATGGGAATGAGTAATTCGGTGTCACATGCAGTTGCCAGACTAGACGCCTCACATACATGCAGTAGATGTGTTAACTCATGAAATGTTAACCGAGATTTTGAAATTCGATTTCGACTCAAAATATTACTTAAGTGGGTAGTTATACTGATTATTGTGCAGCATACTCCAATAATATTTCAGTTACCTCAGGATGCCGGCTTTTGAACGAACGTCTTTTCAGCCGTCGGCAAAAACTACACTCTGTAACGACTTACTACCTAAGTTGTATGCATTTTTTCTCACTGATTTTCGATGGCCTTATATATTTGACTATATTTCCTGAAGAACATGCGTATAAATATTCCTCCTTTTACTCATCTATATTATCTTGTACAGTGATCATTGTTACAACCCTACTTTAGTAATCTTTTTGAGTCAAAAACGCATTCGAGAATTTTGGTTAACACTTTATGATTTAGTACAGCTATTGTACAACCGCCCGGCGACAGGCAAGGAACAGCCA